CCCCCCCCCCCCGGAACTTCACTTTTTTATTGCGGTTTCAGGGTCCTCTAGGGTAGCGCAGCAAAACCCCGGCTTCAAAAAAAAAAAAAAAAAAATTCCCTGCTGGGTTTTGGTGCTGCCTGGATTTCCCAGGCCTGCCTGGCCGGGCGGTGGCCCAGCCTAGGTTATGTGACAATATATATCTTTTTGACGATATATATCTTTTTCTTTCTGTTTGGCCCAGCCAGGCAAGTGGTCCGGGGCCACTCTGGTAACCTAGACCGGCACAACTTAGGAAAGAAAACAAAATTGTAGGCTTGGAACAGTGACATCCCATGGAACAGACACATCCCATAATGGAAGGTGGGAAATAACTATGCCGAACCACAAGAGCAGGATCTATGCTTGAAAGCAGTTTGCAGACGAACCAGAACACACACAATAATACAGCACAGACAAACGCAGTCGTGACAGACTGTTTTGTTGGACTTGCACCGACTCTGCAGGAGGCCGAAGCCTTGACAGTCTGCTGGATCCCCTCACAATGCTTTCAGTCATAACAAGCTTCGGACCCTGATGAGGATGGCCAAACACAGAAAAGCATGCAGCACAGCACGGACATGCAACTTATAGCACAACATAGCGGGCAGGCAGCAAGGCAAGCAGGTGGGAGGGTAGTCGCACAACAACAACAACAACAACAACAACACTCAACACAATAGCACTACTGGGTGGCAGATCGTAAGGCAAGCAGGCGGGTGGATGGGACATCAACATAGCAAGGCTTGCAGCTACGCAGAGACCAATGAATTCAACAAGTAGCAAAGCGGACTATCACCTTTACGCAAAATGGAAAACCCAGCAGACTGTTGTTTCAAGCCACCTTCAGAAGCCAGGAAGTCTCCAGATGAATGAATATCATCACCTGAAAACACAGACTTAAGCAGTCCAAACACTGCAGCCCCCCTCTGCAGGCACTTCATATGAGCAGGGACTGACTATTTGGCACAACTTAAAGGTGCTCGACTTCAAGACCTGCAAAATACAGGAAACTGTGCATTAGATCGACAACAATACAGGTAAAATACTTGGAAAAAGGAAACCAATTATAGACAATAGTAATATCATTGTTGTGTGTTTTATTTATTTACTTTTGTCAAGTTTTGTGTGCGTGTGTGTGTGGATCCTTGTATGGAACGGAAGTTGGAATTCTGCAGGGTCTATGTGGAAGCCTGGAATTCTGCAGGGTCTATGTGGAAGCCCCTTGTAGCATCGCAGCTCTTCCCCCACCTTTGCCACATTGGAATGAGCCAGGCTTGCACTGGGGACTTGAACTCTCATCAAACACAATGTGGAGGACGCTCATGGCGAGTGCAAGACCCCTGTGCCCACTTGTGGCCAGTGCAAGCCTCCTGTGCCTTAGCTGCACTAGAATAGCCGTGCCTTAGCCTGAAGTGGGCACTAGAGGCTGCCTGTGCCCACTCGTGGCCAGTGCAAGCCTCCTGTGCCTTATCTGCACTAGAATAGCCCTGCCTTAGCCTGAAGTGGGCACTAGAGTAGCCGTGCCCTAGCCTGAAGTGCCCAGGCTCTCCTGGGCCATAATTCTATCTAGACTAGCTTGGTTCTGATGTCGCGCTGGCTAGGAAAAGGCTATAACTTTGCTGGAGGATCATGAACCTGGCCAAAATGCAGACCCGATTGAAGTACAGGCCAAACTTCACTGTGCTAGATGTGGCCAGGTACTCAGCAGAGGTGTGGATTTTGTCTACGGTGTCTAGTACAGTCCACTTGACAAAGACAAGGAAGCATGTGTTATGTTTGCATTGCATCGTAGCAGCGTGTTTGACATGGCACGGTGCTTGATTTGACCAGCTTTCTGTGCTCCTCCAGCACAGGAAGGGGGGTGCACTGGTACTAGAAGGAACCATCGCTCGATCTTTACACTCTTAGGGTGGACACCTTTATGCCTAAGCCTAGTAGGGATTAGAGGGAGCCTTGACCCCACCAGATTCTTTTACCCCTGAACTCTGAGCCCTATTGTTGTGGTCTGACTCTAATTGGCTGGCGTGTCGACTATACTCCAAAACCTATAGGTTTCTTACCCCTGAACTCTGAGCCCTATTGTTGTGGTTCTGACTCTAATTGGCTGGCTTGTAGACTACAATCCGAAACCTATAGGTTTCTTACCCCTAAACTAGGAGCCCTATTGTTGTGGTATGACTCTAATTGGCTGGCTTGTCGACTATACTCCGAATCCGATAGGTTTCTTACCCCTGAACTAGGAGTCCTATTGTTGTGGTATGACTCTAATTGGCTGGCTTGTCGACTATACTCAGAAGCCTGTTGGTTGTGAACTTGAAAGGCACACTCTCCCCGAGTGGTGTGTGTAAGTTCTCTGTACCTTTGCTCAAAAGAAAGGTTGCTGAGTGAATGTTGACCTCTAAAAGCCGTGTTCTATGGTTCGACTCTCTTAAGGATGGCTCTATTGCCTATACTCTGAACTGCTCTGAAGACTATGTAGAAAGTTTTTCCAACTTTGCATACAAAGGAGTGTGGAGTCCTTTCCTCGGAAAATTGTGTTCTTCTTTTCTCTTCTCTCAGAAGCCTGCATTCTTCCTCTGATAGTTTTCCTTTTGGGGAAACATGCTCTCCATCTTTCGCCCTCTGACTGTGCCGATAAGGCTCTGTGCAGACAGTAATGAAAAGTATTGACCCCCTCCTGGTGCAGAGAATACAAAGCTTCTGCTTTCGCAAAGCCCACGAAAGGATTTTTGTTGTCGAAACCTCTGTCATTCGTCTAGCGTGTCTGCGTAATGTCTGAACTGTCGCAATTTCTCCACAGCAAGGTGTCGAGTCTGAGTGTTGACGTGGATGGACTGGTGTTTCCCTGCATACCCGGTTGACCTGTCTCCCTGCTCACAGCAGCTGTCGCCCACACAAGCATCGAGCATTTGCACTGTACGAAGAGGAGAACTGTGCTGCCAGGTACCGGCACCCCGTCTGTTGGAGGAGGGAGAGGGAGGGCGTTGAAATCCCGGACTCCTCCGCAAGAGGAGGAAGGACGAGTAGCATCCCAGAATGAGTACCGTACCGGCATTGTCTCACCAGGTGTCAGCAAAAGGCAAGTCGTTGGGTGCAATCTGGACCGGATTTTCAGTGCAGATTGTTTGCTTTACTTGAAGACAGCGGAGGTCCAGCAATACCGTGGGTGTTTGGACTGTATACACAGACTCACTCTTGCAGTTGCCAGTCATTACTTTCACCACCATCCGTTGTTTGTTTGTCCACAACGTTTGCCTTGAACTATTTCTGGGTTGGTCTCAGGTTCGCCTTAGCAAACCGGCCTATCTTGATAATTTTTGCTCCCCTGTCTCGTTCCAGTACTACCTTCTTCACCCGAATACAACGTCCTCGTCGTACTGTCATTATGGCTGTATTCAGACTGAAAGATAACCCTAAATACCACTATAATGACCGTACGTTGTCACCCCAAATACCGCTATAATGACCGTACATTGTAACCCCAGATACCGCTATAATTACCGTACGTTGTATTCGGGCGAAGAAGGTAATGGATACTGCAAAAGATAGCTTTCCTATGGTTGTCCCTATGCTTTATAAACTGGGGTGACCCTACCATTTGGCATTGGGAGTGTACACTCTTTTCACTTTGCAGCCGCCTACCGTGACTCAGCAAGTACTGTTGTTTTCAACACGTCTGGCTCCTCGGTTTGTGTGAGGTCATTTGTATCAAAAGGAGTCATCCTTGTAAGTCATCTACATGACAGTCGAATCTTAAACCGCAAGTACACAGCCCCAGCCTTGCAGAAAGTTTTTGTCGCCACAAGCAAAACTCGGAGGCGTCGCGTGGCGTGGTGCGTCGTTGAAAAACAAAATTGGCGGCCTCCGAAGTGGTGCGGGTTTCCTGCTGACACCTGCAGACCGATGTGTGGTGTACTGGTGCATTAAAGCACCAGTACCCCAGTCGGCTACCCCACGCGATCCGGCTGGTTGACACGGTTGTGCGGATAGGCTCGACCGGCGGGACCAAAAAGGATGTCAGCGCCCACTAAGCCCTTGCCCACAACGGTTCGACACTTTTTGGGCCAGGAAAAATCGCGCATTTGAAAAAACGACACTTTGAGGTGCTGGTGGCTTAATGGATGTACCGCAGAGTACAGGTGGCTGAATGACGCGCACCTAACACGAAAGAACAAACTGCGAATTTCATTTCAGTCTCTCGTAGCTGGCAGCCTCAATCTATCTGCCTGGTGGATGAATGCCACTCACCTGCAGCTGCGGATACTCAAGGTCATGGGTTCAAGTCTTGCTAGCCACACCATCACCGAGGCTGCCCCAATGGAAAACAAAGGGAAAACAGTTCAGCTTGAGTCCCATGCACTCTCTGTGTGTCTGCTTTTACTTGCCTTACAAACTTGCTGACTGGCGCTTCGCCCCTGCACAAAACATGCGTGATGGCATTTTATCCCTCTCTCCTTCCATATTGTATATATATATATCTGTTTGTGACGATATATATATCTATATATAGATATAGATATAGATATATATAGATATACCACCTCAGGGTATCAGTTGTCGGGCAGTCATTGATGGGTCACCACAACCGAGGTTAAGGTGGATTATCACTTACAGTGTAATCAGTTAGGGGATTCTGCAGACTGTTGAGGGTTCAGCCTCCTGATGAGTCAGTGAAACTCAGACGAAACCATTTGTCACAGCCCCTCGTTTGTTGTCCTCTTCTCCCTCTCTGCCTACGGTTTACTGGGCAGCTCGGTTTGACGATATATCGTCAAACAGATATATATCACACAGATAGGACATAGACCACATGGAGGAGCAGAAGCAGAAGTACAAATATTGTCTCATATCTATGGAGTTATGAAATAAAAGAGCGCACTTTGGGAAACAAACGAGAAAAATACACAAGGCAAACATTAAGAGCACACTGAAACCATTCATATATATCATAAAGATAGGACAGACACCAGATGCAGGAGCAGAAACAGGAGCACAAGCACAAACACAAGCACAAGCACAAGCACAAGCACAAGCACAAGCACAAGCGCAAGCACAAGCACAAGCGTAAGCACAAGTGAAGAGGAAAAGTTAAACGTTGAGACCGTAGAGTGGAGTGAAGGACGAGGAGGAGTGGGTGAGGATCATGAAAGAACAAGCATGTGGAAGAGGAGAGTTAGGAGGAGGATATTGAGGAGTAAGAGATTGAATGTAGTCAATGCAACCTGGAGGAGAGGAACAAGTTAGAGAAGCGGAGGAGAAGGAAATGGGAGACGATGAGGAGTGAAGGGCCGAGGAACACAGAGGATAGGAGGGTACGCATAATTTGGGGTATTTCTGTTTCATCGTTCTTTAATATCTTTATATATTCTGACATTGATGAAGTAGCACACAGCACAGCCCCCTCCTCCTCCGTCTCCTCGTTTCCCTCCGGTATGCACTATCCATTTATTGGATGTACCTATGCACTGAATTTGATATATACTCTACAGAGAACATGCGAATATTGATATGCAACTATCTTCTGAACTGGATGTGGTATATGGAGAACATGGGAAAAGTGGATGATTGGAAGCAACCCATAATTGGGGTATTTTCTTCCCACCCACCCTTAAATATAACCCCATTTCTTTGGTGGTGTGTATAACATATACCTCAGCCCCCTTCCTCTTCCTCCACTATGGATTGCATTCTCCATTTATAGTATGTACTATGTAAAGTTCTGACTATGTAACTTGTGACTATCCGTTTATAGTATGTACTATGAAACTTTTTAACTTTTTAACTTTTTAACTTTTTAACTTTTTACTTTTGTAACTTTTTAGCTTTGTAACTTTTTAACTTTGTAACTTTTAACTATCCCCACTATGCAGTCTCCATTTATAGTATGTTGCGAGGAATGAGCCTCGCGGAGCCCTTATCAGGCATACAAGTGTTCTGGGATGTGGCCCCCAGCAAGCCTGTGCCCGGCCTAAGTGAAGGCGGGCCTGAATATCCACGTGAGGCCTGTTTTCGACATTTTTCCATATGTGGGTACTCAGACAGTTGCAGCACGCCAGTTGGTTACAGAGCATCGTGAGCCTCCAGGCTCTTTCCAGAAGCGAAGGGCTGCACTGTACAGTTGAGCCCAGGGCTCAGGTGGTTGCGCCCAGGGCACACGCTGTGTGAGGCCGGCACATCACGGACTGGTTGCGGGCCAATGAGGAAGCAGCATTGTCATCACAGATGTGCCACAAGCCAATGGGAATGCTGCAAGCACTTGGAGGCTGGGTGGCTGCCTGGACGTGCCTAACTGCACGAGGGCCAGGCCAGTATCTGAAACTGGGCCTGGGCACAGACACTTGGGGCCAGAGGCAAGTTACTGGGCCCCCACACACCTGGCCAGACCAGCCAGCAGTGGACACACTTTCCATAAAAGAAAGTGTGTGCTCCCTGGGCAGGCATTCTGGCCTTGGCAGGCAATGTGGACACACTGCTGCGTTGCTGCGCTAGTGTCTGCATGGGCGCTGCTGGTCGGATGCGCGCACGGGCGCTGAGGTGAGGGGCGCTGCTGAGGCAGTGGGCGCGCAGCAGCCATAGCCGAGCTGCAGGGGCGCAGGCAGGTGATGGCGATGGTGGTCTTCGGGTAGGAGGCGCATGCAGAGGGGGTCAAGGTGTGATGAGGGAGGAGAGAGAACATACCTGGTGTATGTTGGTGGTCAGCATTGGTGTTGATTTCACGTACATTGGTCTTCGACTTCAATGTGATCCAGTCGCAAGAACATAGATAGGAGAGATAGGCTGAGTAGAGCAGGCTGGGCGCTGGGCGGCAGATGCGACATTGGATAGTGTTGGTGTGACCAGGGAGTGTCGACATTGACACTCAAGTTCATTGTATTGCTCTTATTTGGATGGAATCTTGGTGCATTGTGCTTTCTGCTTGGTACATGACTATCTGGACTACATGATTTTGCAACTTGGTTTCCTATCTATCGCTCTCGCTCATATTCCTTGCAATGTACTATGTAACTTTGTAACTATACCCACGATGCACTATCCATCTATAGCACTCTCCATTTATAGCATGTAATATGTAACTTTGTAACTATCCCGACTATGCGCTATCCATCTATAGTATGTACTATGGAACAATGGAGCGATGTAACTATGTAACTTTGTGAGTATGTGACTATGTATGTAACTTTGTGAGTATGTGTCACAAAGTTACATACATAGTCACATACTCACAATGTACCTATCCCCACTATGCACCATCCTTTTATTGCGTGTATATGGGGATGGATGCTTTTCCCTCAAGCACATTGATTGTGTGTGTATGGGGATGGATGCCTTTCCCTCAGCCGCCTTTTTGTACTGTTGATCTAGGTTACTTGGGGCGCCTGGTCGTGCACCCGTGCAGTCCACCCCCAGCTGTCCAGCAGCCTAGTTTACCCCGGGCATGTAAAAAACTCTAGGAACTATTTCCTTTTTGTGGGCGAGGCTTTTCTGGGCCCACCAAAAGCAGTCAAGATCGAGGCTCTTTTGTGTTTGTATGGGTTGGGGGAGGGGGGGGGAGAGGAAGCAGGGGGTATAGATGCGGGCGTAAAGGGATTTAAAGGGGGGGGACTTAGTTTGCCGGGTTCTTTTCTTCTTTTTCTTTGATTCATCAAGGAATTCGGAGGTGAATCTCAGCCAGAAGTTGTTTGCTGTGCGATTCTTCACAACATTTTTTTTCAGTTTTTTTTTTTTCCAGAGGTAGAGGTTTGGTTTTTCAAAATTGGTTTTTAGTTTGCGCTGTGGCTGCCCAGGACCCCACCTGGGGGTCCTGTGGGGCCCTACGGCCGGGCGTGTGGGAAGGGCGCAACATTCGTGCCCAGGCACACGGGAATTAAGTCACAGCTGTTTAGTAGGACATACCACGTGACACGTCATTCGGATAAGAGGAGGTGGAAGGAAGGTGGAGGGAAGGTGGAGGGAAGATGGGCAAGGGTGGAAAAGCCATGCATGCGGGAGGATGCCAACAGGGGAGAGGGAATGTATGCAGAATGTCGGGAAGATGACGAGGAAGTGGGCTCTCCATGGTTGAAGGGGCTTGTACGTTTA